ACATCACAGCCATACCTCGTCTGTCTGACACTCGGTCAGAGTCCTCATCCTGTAATTCAAAATATATATATCAAATATAGGGTTTAAGGTTACACGGGGTGAGTAATTGATATTCAAACGGTCACTCTGGGGTTCAAGTACGGGACTCCTTTCATTCCTTATTGTGGAGCCAGTCTAAATTGGTGCTGGCTCAATAGATTATAAAGCTTTAACGGTATTCTCCATACCCATTATTTTTGCCCGGATTTTCATCATTAACCTCTCGAAAAAAAACTAGACCCAAATTACTTTTTGTGTTTATCAAACTTCAGAACGGTCTGTAAAACCCTGTCTTTATAAACCAGCGCTTTCTCAACTATTTGTCCTTAATTGATTCCACGTTGGCCCTTTTTTTCTCTCTTCATGGTAAATCCACATTTGTAGCCTGAAACCTTGACTGTCTTTTTTTCGTACAAACACACTCCCTTTTTTTTTTTTTTTGGCTTGAAAATTGGCTGTTAAAAAGTCGGGTTTGTGTCCTTCATATAAAACGGTGGCGTTGCGGTCAGCTTAAATTAGGAAACAATGTTTCTACACCGCAGAATAAGTGCTCACAGGAACTTATAAAAACCAGTCTGGAGATATAGACTCCGCCAACAAACAATGCCCTAATCAATTCAAGTCTCTGTAAAAAGTTGGTGTTAAAAACAGCTGCCTGTCACACTCTGAACCGCTGTCATCAGATGGTTTTAGGCCAATAGGCACCATTTGATGCCTGTGTGTGTGTGTGTGTGTGTGTGTGTGTGTGTGTGTGTGTGTGTCTAAGGCAATCTTCTTCCTTTAGTTCTTGTTTTTTGGTCGATTGTTATTCATGCAGCTCATACATGACTCACATTCTCTCTCTCGTGGTGTGTGAAATCACAGTCAGTGGTTTGGTTTGATGTTTACAAGGCTGTACTACAGACGGCTCCCTTGAGGATGAGCCGATCTTACGGACTCATCAGAGGTCTCCTTCCATCTCCCCCCGTAGTGTCTTTCACCAGCTTCCCTTTTCTTTTCTATTCCCCCTCACCTTCTCTCTGCTGCGCGTCTCCGCTGACTGATGTCTTTTGTGGGGTTAAGTTCTGACTCTTTTTTTTTTTTTGTTTTTTGCTTCCGCACTCACTCACTCGCACACACATACGTGGTGACACTCGCTGTGCAGTCACCTTTTCTGAGCATCAGGCAGTCCTGACAGCCGGATAGATGAGTTTAGGGATTTTTGACAGCGCGAAACAACAACCTTGCTGTGTGTCCACAGACGCGCGCCGCAATCGATTCTTATCAACAACCTTGAATGTTGATGGTTCTGAAAAACTCCAGATTATGTTCAATGACGAAGTTTTTAACATTCAGTGCCGGCCTCTTTTTGGTCTTGACCTCCACACTCTTACTTTCCCCGCTTCGTTAAATATAGTTTGAACTTGTGCCTGCATGTGACGGTGGCGTTGGGGCGTAAATTGTGCGACGCAGAAATGTTGAATATAAAGACAATTTGTTGAGGTGCTGGACTGCAGAAACTTGCCGTGAAAGTTGGTACATTCGTGGTGCCCAGAGGATGAATCCTGTATAGTTTTAGGTGTACTCCTGACCTCTCCACATTCAAGAAAAGAAGTGGTTAGAAGTAAGAAAGGGCAGTTTTTATACATTTCTTGTACCAAGTGATAATGCGTCAAAGACAATTATTCCTACCGCTACTTTCTTCTCTCGTAACCTATTGAGTAAGTGTGACACAAGCAGCTCTTTGAAGTTGTTGCCGCAGCTGTTTACTCGTTTGTCCAATCAGCTGTTTTCTGGTTCCCTTCCGCAACTCGGACGAGCCACCGAAAGAAAACTTTTAATGCCGACCACAGTGGAACAACTGAAAACACGACAGATGATTACTACAGTACAAAGCGGTGATTTGATTGTTCAGAAAAAAAGAGCTCGCTACAGTGGCAGCAGATCTGTGCAGAGCATATTCTCTGAAAACATGCCTCTCATTTGAAGGTACGAGAATATGGGAATACTGGAGTGTTGCACGTTATTTTTGGGCCACGGTTTTCTGTGTCTGCTCGTCTTAATAATGCATGATTAAATGATGACTGGAGTCTCGGGTATAGGCGTCGACACCCTCGTGCTGCAGTTAATCACAGATTTGGAGAGAAATACTCACACGGTTCAGTTCTTTCGTCATATATATGACGTATATACAGCCTTTTCTGTCCGCAATATGGGCATCAAACACGTCATTTTAATATTAAGACACACACAGTGGTTTACTCATGCTAAATTTTGCAACGTATGTTAAATACTGTATACTGTAAATGTCTCTTCATTGTCTAAGAAACAAGCTACCACTATATACTAATAAATACATATAACGTCCGGTAGTCAGCATTACACCCAGTCTTTATACTCAATCGCAGATTACCTGGAGATGTTGTTTTTTTTATTATTACTTCAAATGCTGCCGCTGCACTCAAACTGTGTGTTTGTATTCATTCCTACTTTCTTTTAACAGATTTATGTCCCATTCGGCATGTCCATAAATGTTCTAATGCATTTTCCGTGCCTCGTGTAAAACCACTGTGTTTGAAAGGTACTGCAGATATTGCCTTGCCTTTTTGCTGCTTTGAAAACTGTCAAAGACGGCGCTTTTGATTGATGCTATCTTAGTGGTTTCAGCACTAATGTGTCTGCAGAGATTGCTCCGTTGTAGTCAAAAGGTCCCCCCAAGGGATACAAGCCGAGTGTGGTTGTGCTGTGTATTTCTTTATCATGTTTTTGCATTTGAGTGAAGCACAGAGTCAGTTCTCTGCATATGCAGACCCTAGCTGTTACATCCATATTGTTCTTTTTCTGGACATCGTATGGAAATAAAAAATAACATTTGTTTAGGGTTCACCCTTCTGGGGATGGGTTCAAGTGCTAGCAAGCTGGCCTTTGAGCAATATGCTGACTCTAGAGCAGCTGCAGGGCTGTTTTCTGTAGCTGACCCCCGAGGACGGGGAGAGACTGACATGGACAGGGATCAATATTGCCTGATATCTTCATTTTCTTTTTCTTTACATCTTGCCAAAACGTTCAGTATGCTGACACTTAAAAGTGGGTTGCGTGACTTCTGAACCTTTAAGTGCTTTGCTATTACCTCCAGCTCAGCAGAACCTGCCCCACAATCCCATTGCCTTTGAACCAAGACCACACATACACAACCTTTTGATGCTGTTCAGCCACTTCTTTTTTTTATCTTCCCAGTTTACTACCACATTTTGTTTCATCGTTAATTTTTTTTTCTTTTTTCTCTCCTCGTGTTTCTTAAATTTTAACTGCTGGCTATGTGATAGTAAACTTCTAGTATGTCTCCGATCACCTGCCCTTGGACCAAGGTTTCAACCACCTGGCGTGAGCGCCGCAGATGCTAAAAGCGCATCATGACATAGACGGTTACTTACGGTTTTATGACAAGAGGTCTGTCTCAGTGACATTCATCAGGACATTGTAATAAAATACGGTTTTGTTTACAAACACAGGGCCTAGTTATATTGTACACATCAAATGTATAATATCATTCAGTACTCTAACTTAACTCGGGTAACATAAAGTCTATTGTCTAAGTCGTTATTCAGACACACATTCTTTGCTCTCTGCTTTCTATACGTAATCAAACTTCTTCAAGCTAACTTTTCCTTCTCATAATCCTGATGATACTTGGGGTCATCTGTATTCTGTAATACTTTCCCCTTTCTGTGAAGCAAAGACATGGATGAGGACGCAAATATCAACTGTCGGAAGACGGCTTCGGAAGAACTTAAGTTAATTATTAAAAAAGTCATAGCGTGTCGATAAAAGTCGGAAAGAAAATCATGGAATTATCCCAAAAATCTTTTTTGACACAACTTAATATGTGTGCATACATGATACTGTCATTGAACAATCTAGTCAGTATTTGCAAATCCAACAGTAATCAAAATATTGATTAGTAGCTGACGAACAGGGCCTTTTTTACAGAAGCTGTTTTGACTGGTCACAGAGGGGAAAGCACAGGTGCTTTTAATTAAGTGAATGATCTTACAGGGACACTAGAATAGAACAGAGCCATCGTTAACGTGATTAGTAACACCTGTGCTTTTTCTGCTATGACAAGTCAAAAGGCTTATTTAACGAGTGGATTTCCAGCGGTGCAGTTATAAGCTAGTGTAAGCGTCGTGGGTGTATGATAAAGGAATTAATCAGTCCAACACGTTTTGGGTTTTTCTCATAACTTTAGTCAAGCTTCCACGGAACCGCACCAAGTCAGATCACCGTCTCCCGCTACTCTCCTTCTACTCCCGTCACCTCCTCCCCATCACATCAAACCCCGTAAACAGTGCCAACTAGTGGTCTATACTTGATCAACACAGGATTTCAGTCTTACACTAGTATGGAAAAAAACAAAACATACACAATTCAAGTTGAAATGTAGACTTTCTGCTCGTGCTTGTTAACTGATTCATGTAGCTTTAGTGGGCTTCATCCAGGGTCCAGCAGCAAAAAGTGAACTGCAGTCAATAGGGCGCTGTCTGGACTGCACGCTGGACTGCAGCGCCCCGAAGCTCTTCCCCCACTGCTGCACAGAGCGCCATGTGCTTGTTAATCCACGGTTTATTAATATTGAACATGTCACGTTTCCAAATTGCACCAGAATTCGACACTGCACTCCATCGAGTCCCCAGCAATGCACCCGCCAAGTGTGAATTCGGATGAGCGGTTCTGGAGATGTGCAGAGTGCACACAAGACAGACGGAGATCCCTTGCGTTATAGTTAGATATATGTGTGCAAACATTACAGTCAGACATAAAACTGTCACATAACCTGAATGTACATATGCGCATACACACACAGTATTCGCAGACAGTAAACACGAACAGGTGGCAGACCCTCTCAGCAGCTTTGGGATACTCGGAGTCCTTGAAATGCCTGTGATGACTCTTGAACTCTGTGTCTGCTGTTTCCCTTCCAGGACTGGCTGAGCAAGTTTGGCTACCTCCCGCCCCCTGACCCAGTGACTGGTCAGCTTCAGACCAAGGAGGCCCTGACCAATGCCATCAAAGCCATGCAGAAGTACGGAGGGCTGAAGGAGACCGGAGTCTTAGGTATGTGGCTGCGTGCGATCGCGCCGAAAACGGGAGGATTATGTTGGCACTTCGGATGGATGGATGGATGCACTTTTTGTGTGTTTTAACTTCCTGACTACAGTATGTGTGAGTGAGAGAGCGACTTTCAATGTGTACCTGGGGACACACAACACACAGACAAAATACGGCTTTAGAAACTGGCAGTTGGAGTCAATCATTCTGATATAACAATCGTCGAACACGGGTAAAATGTATTTTAAGCCCTTTTGTATTGGATTGCATGAGATCACTATGCCCCGTGAAACACCTTGTTAACATAAATCACACTTGATGTTACACACGCGCATGCACACAGTCGAATGACAGTACTGCATGCTGTGTGATTGATCATCGTGGTATATGTAAAACCAGTGTATTGATTCGAATACCTTCTCCCTTATACATCATTTCTCGCACATACAGTGTATTGTCAGCCACACACACACAAACAGCAGTTATCTTCTACAAACAATGTCATTCTCTATACCATACACACCACTGCTCCATCTCGCGCACACAACTATAGAGGGTAGAAAGCATTGCACTGTGTGAACGCATTAAGACAGCGGAGGCTGTGTGTGTGTGTGTGTGTGTGTGTGTGTGTGTGTGAGTGTAATTTATGGCCCCAACTGCATCGTGTGAGTGTGCATGTGAGAGGGAATCGTACGGAGCATGTAAGATTTATGGCCTGAACGGACTCTCGTGCACATGCACACATATGTATGCATGCGAGCATATTCAGTATGAGTTACAGCTGCTGAAAGATTCATTTGCAAACAGTTGTTGAACCGCAGCGTTTGATGTCTTCCACTGTGTTTATGTCGGACATAATCTGTAATCAGGCGTTAACTAACTTTTCCAGCCGTCGTGAAACCGATGTGATAAAAGTTCTGTTTACGGTGTTGGAATAATGTTCGGTGTAATTGATGTTCCTCCGTTAGTCTGTATCACAATTACCTGCCCTCTCGCCTTTAGACCAAGCCACGGTGGGTCTGATGAAAACACCCAGATGTTCTCTGCCAGATGTTTCTGAGGCAGAGGGGACCATGGGCCGCAGGAAGCGTGGCTTGAACCCTCAGAACAAATGGAGCAAGAGGCATCTATCCTGGAGGTAAAGAAACAATTTTTAAAAAGCACTATCTATCTACTATAAGGTTACACCTCAAGCAAAAAGAAAATGATGTCTAGATCATTCACCATTTACACCCGTAGTCATGCTGAGTGCTGAAGGGTGCTTCACAAAGATGAGATCATCCAGTCAATGGAAATGTGCCCAATTCATCCTACGAGGCTGGAGGGAACAAAACACTACATTTCGGATGCAATTTACTTTTTTAGAAGTATAATATTGTACAAATACATACAATGATGTTTCAGTGTTTGTGTTTCAGTATAGTTCAATCTGTGTCAACTGAGAGCAGGTTATCTAAGCCTAACACAATTGTGTTCAGTCCAGCTCCCATAAACCATCACACTTTCACTATTGTCTCCTCCATCTGTGCAGCCTTTGGTAGATTAGATTAGGCCACGCTTCCTCAAGGCAGAAATCTGTTGTTTTCTGGATACATTTCGGCTCAAAAGGAAGAGCATGAAATGCATGAAATGTGTTTTTTTTTGCACACAGACAGTAATTGCATCTCCGGGTCTATACTCCCAACACCGAGGGCATTTGTATGATTCCTAAAGATAAAATGGATTCTACAGACTATGGTCCACATGGTTAAATGCAGTCAGGGCAACACGCGGCTTAGTGTTAAAACAGCAGATGACGACACGGTGGAACATACGGTTGGCCTTTGCTGATTCACACAGGCTGTCGGGGATGATTCAACAAGGAGATGATCTCAGCTGGTGTTGGCCAGTCTGTCTAATATATAACAATCTACGCATTAATGCAGTTGATACAAGCACACATGAAAAATTAAATTCCCTTGGACAAACCCAAAGCCAACAAGAGACGTTGGTGTGGTCTATGCCTGAGTGCTGACCAGGATCAGAAGGAGAGGACACATTAGACCTGTTTTCAAATCCTTACATTGGTTGCCTGTCAGCTTTCGTATTGATTTTTAAAATGATTTTGCTTCTTTTTAAAGCACTTCATGGTCTTGCATGGACCCCTCAGGTCCTCCTGCACCCGTTAGCTTTCAGCTATTGTGCTCCGAGCCGTCTGATGGAACAGTCTGAGGATCTGAGAGCTGCTGGGGCTGTCGAAATCTTTAAACATTAACTTAAAACCTATCTATTCATCGTTGATTTTCTTTTTGTATTTAAGTTGTATAATTGTATTCATCTAGTTTTTATTTCACGCTTTATTACTGTTATCATAGCTTATAATTCTCCTATTACTTGTTTTTTTTATCCTCTTGAGTGCCTTGGCCTCAAATTGTCAAACGTTAAATTGCTGTACTGCATTTAGTCTTTTCTGTGTTTTTCACGGTTCCCTCTTATTTTCGGCTCGTCAGTCGTCTGTGAAGCACTTTGAACTGCACGATGAAAGGTGCTGTACAAGCAGCGTTTGATTGATTGATGCGCACACACGAGCACATGCAGAAACAAAAGACAGGAGGGTGGAACAACACACAGTAAAAAAAACACTAACTACCCCACACTGAGGTTGGATGTCCTTTTGTTCTCTCTCTCTCTCTCTCTCTCTCTCTCTCTCTCTCTCTCTCTCTCTCTCTCTCTCTCTCTC